TTCCACCCTTCCCCCTTTCCACCCCCTTTCCCCTTGCCACATCCACTTTTAGACATTTATACACATCTTACTAGTTATCCTTCTATTTTTACGATAATTATCTTATGCAGTAGTTGTCCTTATGAGACAATTAACTCAGCATAATGCTCTTTAGACTCGACCATGTTATTTAGTATTTTACAAAATCATTGCTCTTTAGTGCTGCATAGTATTCCATTGAGTGAATGTACCACAATTTCTCAATCCATTTGTTTTTATTTTCAAAATATTTTTAAGTTATATATTGGTTTACACACATAATCAAAATACATTGTGTTTCATTCAAGTACATTATGTTTCTCACATTTCCTTCATTCACATTGTGTTTTATATGATCACTCCTAAACACTGTGACTCTGCCATCCAGGGAATTTCTCTCTGCTCCCCACCCCACCCTCTGCCCCTTTGCTGCCTTCCCTTCCTCTTTTGGGCTATTATACACATCTTATTAATTATTCTTCTGTTTTTACAATGATGATCTTATGCAGTATTTGTTCTTAAGAGTCTGAGTTAGTTCACTCAGCATAATGCTCTTTAGACTTGACTGTGTTATATAGTATTTTACAAAATTGTTCCTTAAACCTACATAGTATTCCATTGTGTGAATGTACCACAATACCTCAATTCATTCATTTGTTGATGGAAATTTGGGCTGTTTTCATATTCTTGTTATTGTAAGTAACACTGCTATTAAGATAAGAGTACATATCTCCATTCACGTTTCAGTTCTAATTTACTTGGGGTATATTCCTAGTAGTGCAATAGCTGGATCATATGGAATTTATATGTTCAGTTTTTTAAGAAAACACCAGACTGCTTTCCAGAATAGTTGTACTAATTTGCAATCCCACTAGCAATACATGTGAATTCCAGTCTCGCCACATCCTTTCCTATATTTGTTGCTTTACTAGTATGTTATACTTTGCTACTGCTATTGAGGTGATATAATATCTCATTATTGTTTTGATTTTCATCTCTTTGATTGCCAGTAATTTTTAGCATTTCTTCCTTTATCTGTTGGCATTCTGAATGCCTTCCTTTGTGAAAAATCTTTTCATGTCTTTTTCCCGTTTGAACATCTGTCTTTTCAATCATCTGTCTTTTTCTTGTGGAGCCCCTGTAGGAGTCTCTAAACTTCTGAGACCCTTGGCTGCAATTCCATTGCCAAATCTTTTTTCCCAGTCTGTAGGTTATCTTTTAACTCTACTGAGGAAAGTTTTTGGTGCACATAGGGACTTAATTTTCAGAAGGTTCCATTCTTTGATTTTTCCCTCTCCTGATTATGTATTCTTGGCTATATTTGCAAGCCTATTTATGCCATAGGATAGGACTTCTAAGTTTGATCCCATTTTGTCTCCTATGATCATTATGGGTTTGGACTTTACCCCTACACCTCTGATCCACATTGTGTATGTGTATTTTTGTGTATGGTGTGATATGTGAATCTTGTTTCATTTTTTTTGCAGGATGATGTCCAATTTTGCCAGCACCATTTGTTGAAGAGGTTGAAGTTTCCCATTTAACAGATTTTGATTTCTTGTCAAATACTAACTGACTGTAGATAGATGGGTTAATTTCTGTGTTCTCAATTCTATTGCATTGATCTTTGTGTCTATCATTATATCAATACTAAGTTGTTTTGGTTTCTATGGCTATATTCTAGGTTTTTACATCAAGAAGTGCTATGCCTCTCACTTGATTTTTGGTTTTCAGAAGAGCTTTGCTTTTTCAGGTTCTCTTTCCTTTCCAAATAAACTTTCCAATTACCTTTTCTCTCTCTTTGAAAAATGAGTTTAGTATCTGTATTAAAATAATGTTGAGTGTGTAGATTGCTTCTCATAGTCATTTTCACTATGTTGAGTCTTCCTATCCAGAACAAGGAATATGTTTCTATTCAGTTAGGTCTCATTGTTTCTTGTAATAGTGTATTATGATTTTCTTTATAAAAGTCATTAGTGTCTCTTGTTAGATTTATTCCCAAGTATTTCATCTTGTGGCTGGCTTTCCTTTTCTATATTTTGTTTGTTGTAGAAAAATCTCACTGATTTTTATATGTTGATCTAGTATCTTGCCATCCCACTAAATTGATCTACTAGGTCTAACAGGGGGGTTTTGTTGAGTGTTTGAAGTTTTCTGTGTACGCTTACTATTTTGTCTGCATATAATGGCAGTTTTACCACCTCTTTGCCAATTTGGATGCCTTTTATTTCCTTCTCTTTTTTTTATTTCCTTTTCTTGACTTATTGCCCTAGCAAATACCTCCAACACAAAATAATGCCCTCCTGGGACTTTGACTAAAGAGATTTACATTTGAAGGAAGTGGGAGTCGAAGGGAATAGACTTTGCCTTTTTAAAAACTGGGTTCTGTGCACACCCATGTTTATCACAGCTTTGTTCACAATAGCAGGGTGTTGGAAACGAATGGATAGAGAAGCTCTGGTATATTCACACAATGGAATACTATGTTGCATTGAAAAACAAGGAACTCATGAAATATTATACAAAATGGGTAACCCTGGAGGACATTATGCTGAGTGAAATATCTCAGTCACAAAAGGACAAATACTGCACAGTGACACTGTTGTAAAACAGGACTGACCTTGGGGTTGAGGGGAGACTGAGAAAGATGGGACAAATTATGTGCACTGCATTGAAAAGATGAGAGAAAGAAATGTTTAAAAGGGATATATGATTAGGTATTATTGTCATGACAGGAGTCCTGAACAAAGGCTACATAGTGGGGTGGAATTGGGGGGAAGGATTGTATAACAATGGAAGAATTTTTCTTTTACTTTTCAAAGAGAAGAGTGAACTAGGGGTGAGGGGTGGGCAGGGAGAAAATTACAACAATGAATGAATGGAAATCCAAAGTCTTTATAAACTTTCATTAAAATTAGTAATTTTTTTTTAAAAAAAACTGGGTTCTGAAGCAGGGTAAGGTTGGTACACATCAGAACCCTCTTCTAGGATTTAAAGTCAAAGAGAACTGTTGAGTATACTCATGGTGGCCACCTAGATCCTCTGAAATGGAATTAGGAGACATGCAGCAATGAAGACACAGTCTGTATTTGGACGTGTTCCATCAGCGCTGCTGACCTAGCATGCACAGATGTATGGATAAACGCAGAAGGGTTGCTGGCTTGAGAAGCTAGAAATCCTGAAGACTCTTGCCCTGTTGAGTTGGCCTGAGGTGGGGGCTAAAACTGAGCAGAGGTACCAATTAGTTTGGAACACAGGAAGATGTAGGGACTCCTGAGTTTGCAACTGATGTCCATTTGGGTCTAGCTACGGATGGCTAGAGATGAGTTTCCCAAAACCCACACAGATGGAAATAAAATGTTCCATGCTGTGACCTAGCATTGATTGTTGCAACCTGATGGCTTGCTCTGGACTGTACTTTGCTTGTGGATGCAGATGCTCAAAGTTTCCAAATGGAATTGAAGATCCTTCAGAAGTTTCCAAATAGAATGGAAGATCCTTCAGATAAAAGGGACATGCTTGTCCCTACAGAGTTCTGGTTTTATATGGATGGCAAATTAGAAATTGGCTATCTAAAATGGGAACATTAAGGCATGAGGCATGAAGTTACTGACTTACATGCTTTCACAAATATCAATGTTGTGTACTGTAAGGAGAAACATGAAAGTTAATGGCTAGAAAAGCCATAGGATGATCTATGGTGTTAAGAGTTCATTGTTCAAAATAACCTCTTAGCCATTGGCTGACTTTGCCATGTAGATTTGTGGGAATATGCAAATAGGGTGTGTTAGCCTATCCACAAGGAGATTGGTTAGTCTAACCAATAAAGTGAGCAAATATAGCAGCAGAATGGGGAAATCTTATTACCAACAAAGAAACAAGAGAATGCAGTGGGTTCTTTGGGGCTAGTGATTCTTGTACCAGCTAGAGCAGAGTCTGTGTGAGCAGCAGCCTTATAGCAGTCACAACAAAGAACCAGAGACCTGACATGAGACAGAGCAGACCATGGGTCGGCTACCCCTTGGAGACAGAATAAGGTGCCCTTGCCCACGTATGTTGGACAACTGGAAAGGTTGAGGGAGAGCCATAACCTGCTGGACTGAGAGCTTTATAACACTGACCTAAAGCCATGAGGCTCAAAGCTGAGGCCCCTTTGCACATTTCAGAAGCTGTCCTGACTGAATGGTTGTATTCTGCTGCCAACCTGGATTATAACCCTTTGACTTCCCTAATACGGTTCTGTGTTGTCTGTGAGGTACTGCTACAGATTTTGGACTGAGTAAAGCATGAATATTGATGTTGAGATGAGCAGAAAGAGGTACGGAAGCACAGATGACGTGTCTGACATCGTAGGAATTGGTTTTGTGTTGTTGATGTTGTTGTCAGGGACAGTCCCCATTGTGCAGTTGGTAAAGGTCAGATATGGCTGTCCTCATGACAATCTTGCACTTTTTACAAAGCCAGACTCCGTTCAGAGGATGGAGTAAAAAGTCTCCTGTGAAGGAGCCTCTCACATCTTCACTGTCTGGTCTGTGTTGGACTAGAGCAGGAAGAAATGAAAAGCAGGTAGCAAGAGAGACTCTCCTCAGTCATTCTACCTTTGCCAGAAATTTCCACATGTGAAGATAAATTTGGGTTTATTTTAGGAACGAAAAGTTCAAAGCACAAATTACAGAAAGAAGGAGCTGGAATCCTTCAGGAGGCTCCTCCAGTGCACCAGGCCCCTTAGGTTCCACAGCCTCACACTAAGAACTCTACAAATTGGTCAAATCACAGAACTAAATATAAAACAGTTGTGCAGAAGGGTCCCAAAACTGATGGAATTTTCTTCTTCCTCGATGCTAGCATGAGTGAACCTCCAAATTGCTTGTCTGGCATTTTTAAGTTGAAGCCCCACTAGCAGACTCTATCCTCAGTGATTTCCTAATCACCCAGTCCCCAGTTCCTAGAGCCAGACCTACAGCTCCACAGCCCCAACCACCTCAGAGCCTCGGGGAGAAGCCAGCCACCACGATGGACTCCCCAGTGATGTAGCTGGCCTCTGGGGAGCACAGGAAGGACACAAGTCCCACACAGTCCTCAGGCTGCCCGATCCTGGAGGGAGAAACAGAACATGACACTGATGATCTGAGACACTGGTTCTGCTGCTCCAGAGGGAGCCAACACACCTTCACCCCATCTCTGGATTTCTGGAGCTTCGGTGTTGAAGGTGCTATGGAGGGACAGGGTGGACTCACAAGAATCACAGTAATGTGTTGACTCACTCCCAACTTTAGCAAAGGAAATAACCAATCAGAGGAGGTCTGCTTTGAGACAAGCACCTCCTTCCCCAACTGTACCCAGACCACTGAAGTTCCACTTGCCTCTGCAGTCGCTGGTTTTCCTTAAATCGTTTCCAGAAAACCTCATCTTTGTGGAGCTGGACAAAGGGAAGAAATGAAAGCGTCAGTGAGGCTAAAAGAGGCAGGCAAGGCCTCTCAGAGTCATTGTCTGAGCTGCTGGGGGAGGTTTGTTTGCTCAGGAGGAGCATCATGTTCTCAGAGCTCATGGGCTGAGTCAAGGCCAAGTTCAGAGGAAAGCAAGGACCTCAGGGATAAGGACGCTACTCTGGGACTGTGTTCACCTCTTGATCCCTTAGTCATTTGGGAGGATTTCTGCTGAAGCCCCAGTCCTCACCATTTTACTGAAGTTAGTCTTGATCATTCCTGGAACCAGGCAGTTTACCCGGATGCCCTTCATGGCCAGCTCCAATGCCAGTGTCTTGGTGAGACCCAGAAGAGCAGTCTTACTGACATTATAGGCACCCAGTTCCTGGGAAGAAGATCAAATACAGGTTAGGATATAAGGGAGTGGGGAGGTGGGGCAAAAAGTGTCATATGTATTTCTAAGAATATATCTAAGGCTTTCACACCCTCTGGTCATGACTGTTTCAAGCCCAGAGCTCAGACACCCTCTCCCCAGCCTTGTCTAGGCACAGAAGCCAGGTATGAGGGAGCCACAAGGGCATAAGCTTATCTTAGGCCATGAGTAAGACTGGAATCTGTCCTGGGCTGTCTCTGTGGAACCATTCATCCTCTCTCAGACAGGACCAATCACTCACCACAGATGGTGTGTAAGCCGCAATAGAAGAGACCAGAATGACACTGCCACCCCTGCGAGAAGACCAACAGAAACAATGCGTGAAATGAAGCTAATAACTTACCATTTAACAAGACACTATAAACCAGTCATTAAAGAACGCAATCCTCACAACCACAAGGCAGGTCCTATTGCTGTCCCCACTTCACAGATGAGGAAATTGAGGCTCAGAGAGGCTGTGTAATACAACCAATAAACCAAACCTACTCTGTCTCTCTGACACTAAAGTACATGCTCATAACCATTATATTTATCTGCTTCTCTGGGGACAGATGAGCTGAAAGTCATGTTCTTGGAAAAGAGGCGCTCAGGGCTGAAGGTGAATGCTTGTCAACAGGTAATCTCCAGGAAGCAAAAGAGGCAGGAGTAGAAAAGAAACCACAGGCCCAGGGACTTTTCCTTCTACCCAGGTCAGCCCCAGCCAGTTCGTAAAGGCTGTGTGTGTAAAGAGAAGCCCAAGGAGAGGCTGTGTCCCATGAGAGGTGTGGCCTGAGGCCCTGACGTTAGACCTCTGGCAGCACGTGTGGACCACAGTCAGGTTTGCAGCTTTGGAACAGAGGCAGTGCCCCAAAGACCAAGATGAAGGGAATTAGGAGGAGATTGAGAGGCTTATGAGTGGGAAGATCACGCCAGCCTGAGTTTGGCCCTCTCCCTTTGGGGAGAAGTGAGGAAAACCTTGTCATAAATCACAAGTTGGTAAGAAGGATTATCTAGTTCTAAGAGAAGCAGGAAGTAAATAAAGGTAAGAGTGAGCAGCTTTTAAGCACAACCTCTTCCCAACACAAGATTTTCAAGGCCAGGGAGATGGTACCTGGACTCCTGGAACATCACCCTCATCCTGCAAACGCTGAAGCTCAAAGCTCTACCTTCTCAAAGGCAGCACAGAGGGAGCAGTGTGTTTGCAGAAAGCTCAGAGAGACTTCTGTCCTCCCCCTGCTCCCAGCTGCCCCTGTGTTCTTCAGAAACAAGCCCTCCACCGCCCTAGGCCCCTAGTCCCACCAGGCCCCACTCTGCAACCATACCCTCTCTTCTCCATGTGTGGCAGCAGTTGGCTCAGCAGCAGGGCGGGGGCCTTCACATTCACACTGAGGATCTGAGAGTAGGGCAGGGGCATTGGGAGGCAGAGAGAGACAATCAGTCAAAACTAAAGTCCTACAACGCACAACGAACCTGAGTGTGCTCCTGGCTGGAGCAAGGAGGTGCTTCCCAATTGTTAATGATTTAACAGGCAGACAGGTTAAGTCACACATCTGTCAGAAGCACCTAAAAATGTGTATTATTCATAGCTGGGTAGAAGGAAGGAAATGCTGTGTCTTTTCAAGAAACTGGACTGTGTTCTGTTTGTGCCAGTAGAGGCCTCAAGAAGTCACTGGAATCACTTCTTGCCTTGTTGGCTACGATCAGGTGAAGAGTCACAGGAAGAGAACTGAAGACAGAGCAGATGTAAGGGGAGCGGGCGCTGAAGCAAGGGAGATTTCTAGAAGCAGTATCTTTGTCTTTCTGTATCTTTTTGTTTATGCTTTTGTCTTCTCCCAGTAGAATTTAAGGCATATTTACAATGCAGTTGGATAGAACAAATCAAATAGGTATTATATGTGAGGGAACAAAGAATAGGAAAAATAAGGGTAAAAAATAAGAAAAAATAAAAATGTGGTTCATGCCTACAGTTCACAGCACATGATAAGGACTAAGCATTGTTCTAAAATGTGTTCACAAGCACATGCTAGGAGCACCTACACACACTGATATTCCACAGACTCAACTCTAAGCTTTCCAGAGCCCTTACAAGGAGGGATTATACCTCAGAGAACTACATACCTGGGAGTTTGGTGACTATCTTGATCCTGACTGTGACAAAAATCTAGACCTGGGCTCAAGTTTGGAATTTGGATCTCGCTAGAGTTGGTATCACTAATACAGGACCTCATAAAGCCTATAACCCCACCAGTTGACCTCCTCCCCTACCAGAACACACAGGATCCCTAGTAATGCTTATTATCAACTCAAGTTGTTGAATAATATATGACAAATAGAGCTATAAATTTCTTAAATGTAATATTTATTAGATTACATGAATACTAATAACATTTTTTAAAGAACATTTTTTGAAAGAAGATGGGAAGTCTCTTCTCAGTGGTTTACTGCATCTGAAAACCCACTGTAGGATCAGCTATGAGTTGGTTCAGACTCAAAAATGCATAACAACAACATATTAAATTACTATATTATTAGTTAGAACATTATTAGGTATTAAAGGAAAGTCTTTTTTTTCTCCTCCTGTTTCTTGAATTACAACTTCATTCCTGGAGAAAGGTTATTGATTTACATGTGCAAATACTAATTACCACAAAGCACAGCAAGGACACAAAAAATTTGACATGATCAGCAACTATAAAAACACAAAACTGAAACATCACTGTTGTTGAGCCAATCTTGACTCCTAGCAACCCCACAATGAAATGTGCAAGGAGCTGGAGTCAGAATATCAGAAGGGCCAAACTTGCTCAGCCTTTCTTAAGCTGAAGGAACTGAAGAACAAATTCAACCCTCAAGTTGCAATACTTAAGGGTGCTTTGGGCAGAATATTAAATGATTCAGGAAGCATTAAAAGAAGATGGAAACTGCATACAGAGTCATTGTACCAAAAAGACTTGGTGGACACAGAAGAATTTAATGAAACAACGTATGAGCAAGAGCCTGTGGTGATGAAGGAGGAAGTTCAAGCTGCTCTGAAAGAATTGGCAAAAAACAAGGCCCCAGGAAATGATGGCATACCAATTGGCATATTTCAACAAACAGACACTGCCCTAGATGTGCTCACTAAGTTGTGCCAAGAAATCTGGAGGACAACCACCTGGCCAGCTGACTGAAAGAGATCTATATTTGTTTCCATCCCAAAGAAGGGTGATCCAACAGAGTGTGGAAATTATCAAACAGTATTATTGATATCACATGCAAGCAAGATTCTTCTGAAGAGTGTCCAAAAACAACTGGAACAGCACATCAACAGAGAACTGACAGAAGTCCAGGCTGGGTTTTGAAGGAGTCATGGTACTAGGGATATTGTAGCTAATGTTAGATGGATCTTAGCAGAAAGCAGAGAGTACCAGAGGAATGTCTACCTGTGTTTCATTGACTATGCAAAGGCATTTGACTGTGTGGATCACAACAAAGTGTGGCTGACTTTGACAAGAATAGGAATCCCAGAACACTTGATTATGCTTATGTGAAACTTATACTTGGACCAGGAGGAAGTCGTCAGAACAGAGCAAGGAAGCACTGCATGGTTCAAAATTTGAAAGGGTGCGCATCAAGGACGTGTCCTATCTCCATATCTTTTCAATCTATATGTGGAACAGATTATCTGGGAGGTTGGGCTCTATGAGGAGAAATGTGGCATTAGAATTGGAGGAAGATTTATCAACAATCTGCATTATGCAGATGACACAACCCTGCTTACTGAAACTGAAGAGGACCTAAAGCGCTTGCTTCAGAAGGTCAAGGACTGCAGTCTTCAATATGGATTGAAGCTCAACATCAAGAAAGCAAAGATTCTCACCACTAGGCCGATTGACAGTATCATGATAGATGGTGAAGAGATTGAGATTGTTGACAGCTTCAGTTTCCTTGGTTCTCCAATCAACACACTTGGTACCAGCAGCCAGGAAATTAAAAGACGAATTGCACTGGGAAAGTCAGAGACCTCTCCAAAGTATTGAAGAGCAACAATGTCAGTCTGGAGACTAAGGTGCACCTGATACAGGCCATGGTCTTTGGAATTACTTGCTATGCATCAGAGAGCTGGACAATGACTAGGGTTGATAGAAGGAGAGTTGATGCCTTTGAGCTGTGGTGCTGGAGAAGAATATTGAATATACCATGGACTGCTAGGAGAATAAACAAGTTCATCCTGAAGAGGATGAAACCAGGCTTCTCCTTGGAGGCAAGGATTCTGAAGCTCCATCTGATATGCTTTGAACATGTTGCAAGGCAGGATCATGCTTGGGAGAGTGGAGGGACAGTGCAGGAGAGGAAAATGCTCAATAAGATGAATTGATTCAGTGACTGGGGAAATGGGGATAGGTGTGTCAGAGACAATAATATTGTCAAGGGATAGAGCAGGGTTTAGAGCTGTTGTACATAGGGTCACTGTGAGTCTCAGGCAACTCAACAGCACATAACAACAACAACAAATAAATCTTTATGGGCATAATTGTTCATCTTTCTCTTGTGTAGCTGGTGGATTTGTACTGCAAACCTTTCCTTTTGTAGCCCAATTATGTACCATATCACTCATTTAAAAAGAACAAAAACCTGTAGCAATAGAACCAAAAGATGTTTGTAGAATGTGTGGAGAAACTACACTATTTGAAGTACCATTGCTATTTATAAGTTTCAAAAATAAATAAGCACAAAGTTTCAGCCTTGTTGCTATGTAGATATGTGTAAGCTGGATTTAGGAAAAATGTTTTTTGTTTTCTAACTAACCATGGGGATACACTTATAGAAAAAATAATAAATTTCTGCTGAAATATTGCACAGAAATTTTATAAACTGTAGTTGTGAAGTCATTTCCTCTGGCAGTGTCACCCATGAAGACTTGTGCTCTGGTGGGCTATCTGAGATAGCTCTTCTAACCACTGACTTTGACTTCCACCATAGAACTAGGTAGGATTTATAAAGGTGAGGTGTGTGGTCCAACAAGGATATTGGCTAGATTACAAATAGTATAAATAACGTAAATAGTACCTTTTGGATTATGCTTTTGGAATATGCATTAGAAGTATAGCGAATATGAAGGTGAGTATAGGTCAGATTTGCTATCCCTCTAGGCTTTGATTGAGCAGATTCAGGGGCAGAAAATGGGACTCTCACTACCATCAAGAAAGATGAAGCGGAGAGTGTAGCAAGAAAGTCCTGTGTGAGGCCAAGACACAGCAACAGTAGCAGAGGTAGTGGGGAACAAGAAACGACTGTGAGACGGCTTGAGCTGGATCTCCACCCCACAGAACCAGAGGCCCGCAGCTCTGCCCAGACATCCTGGTGAAGAGGCCTGCCTGAGAAGCTTTTATTCAAGAAGTATCCTGAGTGTTTCCAACCTGAACTGTAACCTATTACTTTCTTAATCTTACAGCTCTGAGCATTGTCTGTACGCAGCCACTGCAAGAAATTAGCAAAACAAGCCCCAGAGTAGAGAGTCATGGCAGGAATAGTTGGTGTTAGAATTGATAAAAGAAGGTGCAGGAACACGGCAGCACGTCTCCCTTCCCTGGAATCAGCTTTGTGCTATTGATGGAACTAATAGGTATTCTTCCCCCTTGTGGGCTCAGTGGAGGTCAAGCTTTGCTGCTCCATGCCTGCCTCAGAGTTGTTACCCACACATACCCCCAAAGCTCTTAGTTATACCACTGATGTGGGGACAGAGAAGAGATAAGAAAGGAGCTAACAAGGAAGGATGCTGGGACATAGCAAGGAAGGATACTGGGGCAAAGACCAGAGCTTGGGACTGAATGCTGGCTGAGACAGAAGGGGGACAAGAAGTCCATCCTGTGGGCCCTGAGGAAAAGGGTCTTTAATGAGGTCAACTGTGTCCTGCTAGGAAGGGGACATATTCACAGTTTTCCCCTGTATCCCACACCACTTCACCCCTTTGGTTGTAAGCAGTGAGAGGTGCTTCAGATGGGCTTTGTGGCTCATTTCATGACCAATTACCAGTGTTTATGACTCAGGACTATAAGAAGCAGATAAGATGTCTAAAGAAAGGATGATCAATAAGGACAAAATGAGAGTTAGGTTAAGAACTCCTTTTCTGTTCAAAAGATAGCCAAATCACCTACAAAGTATCTGCCTAAAGTTCTGTGTGCATCAGACTAGGCAATGAGAAGATCCCATCCTAGACTAGAAGCCAGACGTGAGCTGAGTCATGGGGAAAGTGAGACGCCTTCCTTTGCCAGGGAGAAGTGCCCATTAGAGAAGTAAGAAGAGATGATCCTTGTGCCAAGCATCCTGAGTGGAGCTCCATGAACCTAAAAGAGGGTGCCCCGGAAAAGGAGGGGATGGAGAGATATGACTGTGCTGTTAGAGATCTTCCTACCAGCTGGGGAGAATGGGACCTGCCTGGAACAGGTCCAAAAGCTCACCCAAGGATAAGCTGAGCAGCAAAGAAGTCCCCTCACAGGACATCCATTGAAAATTGCATCCAGTTGAAAACAGAGCCTCTGATAAATTCTAAACTCACTTTGTGACAATTTCACCTCCGAGATGGTACAGATGAGATTGAGGGACAATTATCCCCATCAACTATTTCTGTCCAGTGGTGCAGAATCACTTGCTGAGTACCAAGTCCTTAGAGAATACAGGGGCACCAGAGAAAGTGAGGTCAGTGTGGCTGATGTGCGCCCTCAGCTCCAGGAGGGGGGACTTCAAAGCATTCTAAGAAAAAAAGAGCCATGATCCTACGAACTGAGACACTGGAGAGGAAAATGACTCAGGAGGGCCAAGAGAATGTCAGCAATGAAATCCCAGCCGCATAATCACAAACGATCCTTAGCAACATTAAGAACAGAGCTAAAGAGCCTGGGGAGGCTATTGTGCAGTCACTGCAGGGAGCTCAGGTTTCAGGTCATCTCTGAGGATGGAGTGAAGGGCACGGAGCCAAGGACAGAAAAGAGGGAGGGGCTGGCCTGAGAAGGATGATGGCAAAGAAGCTCAGAGAGCTGGGCGGGCAGAACGCTCTATGGGAAAGGGTTCTGGTCCAGTGTTCATGACAGAACAGGAGAGGCTACCAGTGGCAGAAAGAACAAGACTCAATTATGGTTCCATCTGATATGTCAGGAGGAATAGGAAACACACAAACAGAGCGGATATCAGAGGATAATGAAGCCCAAGATGGACTTCAAGCACTTTACAAGGTCCCTCCTGGATCCTTGTAGACAAGACAGCAGACTGCACTGCAATCCCAAAGGCATGTAGCTGGAATACACCAGAAGGGTGTTCAAATACACCTGGTGTATCCAAATATACCAGGAGAGTGTTCAAATACATCTGGTTATTCAAATGTACGAGTAGAGTTCCTGTGGAACCTTAGCTGCTCCGCTGGAGAAGGATAGACAATCTCCCCTTATGCAGTTTACTGCCTCTGAAAGCCCAATGGAGTGTCAGCTACTGGTCAGTTCTGACTCGATGGTACATGACAACATGGTGGGTGGGCATGTCTGGGCCACTATAAAGCTGATGGAAGGTCCATCAGCACCAACAGGTGCAGGCAGAGTCATCTGAGGGCAGTGAGGAACCCTAATCTAGAAAATGTATAGAGACTCATAGCAGCAAATACAGATCACCAAGGAGGAGCACAATGATTAAAATTTATCCTTTGCAAAAGGATGCAGAAAAAACAGATTGTTGAGTCTTATAGAGCACAAGGACCTTGCTGCATATTGTATGTTCACTGCTGTATCCCCAGAGGCTTGAACAGGGACTGGCACAAAGCAAGACACTCAATAAATACTTGCTAAATAAATGCATACAAAGATATGGGGAGAGAAAAGAAGGCTGAAAGCAGTAGGAACCAGTTTAAAAATAATCGCAACTGGAAGTGGCCTTCTAAGACTGAGAGGGCAGGCCTCCTGTGCAGTGCCTGATTTTTCAGTGACACTCGAGGGGTAGGGAGAGGAGAGTTTCATGGGGGGAGAAGAGGCCTCACCTTGTCCCACACTTGCTCACTGGATCCCAGCGTGCTCCCTACCACAGGGTTGACGCCTGCATTACACACCAGGACATCAATGCCTCCACAGTGCTCCAGGGCCTGTGGGGAAAGGCAGACAGGAGGAACCGGGGTGAGTGTGGTGATGGTCTGAGAAGTCCTCCCCTTCCCTCCGGTGCCTGAGTGTCCCACATAGCTAAGCTATATGGCCCATTCGGACAGAGCTTGCTGAACAGGCGATGATGGTCACATGACTCCTGTATAAACCAAATCAAGGTGAAGAAAAGTGTCCCCAACAGGCCCAAGGATAAATGCCCCAGTGCTGAGGCTTCAGAAGAAAAGGTCTTTTCCAGGAATCCGGAGGACTTCCCTCAACTCTTTAGAGCATGTCTCAACCATAGTTCTCTCAGGGAATAAGTCTTCCCATGAAAATACAGCTTTCCAGTGACCAACCAGGTCTGCTCAACTGACTGAGAAATCGTGGTCTCAGGCCTTGTTTTAGAACCTCACATATCCCATCCCTACCTTTGTCCCTCCTAGGGAACAGTTAGGGAAAGGGTATGTCTTCTCTGTGTCCTTGCACCGCAGTGGACTCTCACCGTGGCCACCAGCTGTTCCCGGTCCTCAGCTTTCCCCACGTGGCACACGGTGCCCGTCACACTCAGTCCCTCCGTCTGCAGAATGGCCACTGCCCGATCCACATTCTGCTGCTTCCGGCTGCTGACAACCACATGGGCACCATCCTGGGCCAGACGCCGGGCAATGGCAAAGCCAATCCTGTAGGTGGAGATGAAGAAAGCAAGACAACCTCAACTCACTCCCACTATTCTTCTCCAATGCAAGCCCAGAAATCAACAAAGAATACTCTGTCCTGCTCTCACAACCCAGTGTACTGTGAAAGTCAGGGTCAGTGTGAGGACGTCAAGACATAAAAAAGGCACTCACCCATCAGTGGACCCGGTGACCACAGCTACTCTATTGCTCAGCTTGCCACTCATACTCCTCCTCTCTGGGATCCCCATGCTAGGGCGAATCAGGCATCTGTGGACTCTGGCTAATGCTTGGAACATGGCAGCCAATATCTGGTCTTCTTCCTGCAGAACTCAGTCCTTGAGGGGGAAAAAAACATCAGCTTCACTTATGACTGACACCATGATTCAATGAGCATGATGATAAACTATTCCTCAGCTCCTCCAGACAGACAAGGCCAGTAACAAAGTAGGAGAGAAAGAGAGGTTGGCCATGGCGACTTCCAAACACATGAACCTTAGATCAGGAAAAGCCTCCAAGAAAATTCTTGATTTATAAAATGGACAAATCAGAACATGACACCCGCCATTCAGTAGGCACAGATTATTTTTCCATTCATTCTATAACCAAGTTCTGAGTACTTACCATGTGCCAGGCCCTGGACAGTAGAGGCTGCAACACTGTAGTGAGCTGCAGGCCCTGTCACACCCACAGTTTCCATGTCCGTTGGATTGCTAGCCACCAAACAAATGAAGATTGCCTGGTTGTCGCAAATTTTAAAATTCCAGCAGTTCAAAGCAGAATATGACCAAAAAAAAAGGGGGGGGGGAGATCTCATAATCTATTTCTCATAGGCAAACTTAGTAGGAAGGGTTTCAAAATTCTTTCAGAGATGTTCCAGGCAAATAGTTTTGTTTGTTCAACAACAAGCTTTCAGTTAATTAACAATCAGTTCACAGAATTTCCACAGATTGTCTTAACTATGCAGAAGAAGAAATGGAGGGCAAGAATGAGGGAGCCCGTAATAACCTGCACTTTCCTTCTTGAGGTCCAAAGCTACACGCACTCAGTAAAGTTCCCACGCAGTGGGCTGGGGGCGTCATCACTAAGGAAGTTGCACATAAGAAGGACCTGGAAGGTTGAGAAGGTTTCGACAGGGGAAGCAGTGGATGTTTAGTCGAGGGCACAGAGTGAGGGATGCATGGAGCAGTGAAAATGCCCTAGGTTTTAGGGAGAGAGCAGGGTCACGTGTGTCTCTGGAGTGTAGAGAACAGAAACACATCCTTCAGAAAGTGGACGGTGGCTCTGCACATCTCCACAGTGCCTAGCCCCATGCCGGAATGAAGCTACCTAAAGTGAGGCCACAGAGAGACCAGGCCAGGCAGCTGCTGTGGGATCCATGCTTTCATGACTTCCCTCCAGAAGAGAAGGGGCAGGGGTACATGTAGATAGTGTGAAGGTGGAAATGAGACATGGCCTGGGAGACATACTTGCTCACCACTCCCATTGGAGTTCTGCCCAGTCTTGAATCTAGGAATCTGATCAGCTTCCTGCCTGAAAGGTAGGGGAGCGAGTGATTGAAATAAAAGGTCAGTAAGTTATTCGAGGGCCGGGGGTACATGTTCTCTGCATTTCAGTGCCGAGGAGATGGAAGAGAGAGTCACTATGGCAGCCTTGGATCAAGAGGCCCGCAACCCTGAGCTTCCTGAGGCTCCAGTGTGGGATGACTCTGTCTACAGACCCCCTCATCAGTTGCAGACTGGCTCTGGCCACTCCATCACCAAGGGATTCCTGGTTACTAAGCAACCCCTGCCTTACCTTCTGCATCTCCCCTCGTTCCTTAGCAACCCTTGCATAACCCAGTTCCCTCCAGTTAGGAGTTTGTATATGTACAGTATAAGCGAATGGGTGCTGCTTTGGAATTGTGGAGCAGTTTTAGATCAAATGTCAGTCTGCATTCCGCTCCATGTCAAAACTAATGTGACCAAGTGCTCTACTTTGGAGTGGACAGCCTGAATTTCCAATTTATGTCTCTTCTGATATTGTATTTCCAAAAACACCTCTGGTAGAACCCAGACCTCCTTCCTTTTCCCTCCTCTTATCCTGCTCATTCTCACTCTCTCGCTTACTCACTGGGTCCACCTGCTCTCTTACTCACCAGCTCTCCTTTCCGCAAGGTCAAATTTTTAATCTTACGTTTCAAGGAGAGGGAGGCATTCAGCTCCAAATTGACCAACTTCTCCTAAACAGTACACCAGATTCTAAACATTGCTATGTCCCTACTGAGGACCCTCTCTCCCTTGCTGAAAGAACAGATTAATGTGCCCCCTTCCCTTCCCCACAAGGGAATCCTGTCTCCTTGTCCAGGAGGGCATAGAGGGTGAGGACTTCCATTTTGCCGGGACAGGGCACCCCCTGCTGGAAATCTAGAGTTATAGCACCCATGAAAAAGCATTCGTATCTGTTTAGGACCAGTTTTCAGGTCCCCTCTCTGAACCACAGCAATTCTCACCAGGATCTGCTTGTGTAATCTGGCCAGGAAAAGATCTGTTTGTGTCATCTGCAGGAAAGTGAAGTAAAGAATGAGCTCAGACCTCAGCGTTGCCTCCCTGCTTCCCCTTCTTCCCGCAAAGTCCCTCTTCCCTAGGGCCCAGGATTGAGCAGCTTCCAAGCTCTCAGGCTCTGGTTCACTCTCCCCACACTGCCCACTCTGACATCTCATCCCATGTTGATGCCCAGAGATGGGAGTGGACACCGAATGGACACATCTTCAACAGTCCCACCTTGGAAGTGGATGGCCTCAGCACTGGGTCCAAAGAGAGAAAGGGAGGCAGGAGGGAAGGGGGAGGTGGAAATAAAGAGCTATCAAGAGTCATGGAATAGTTAGAAACATGAAAATTTAGGAAAGACGCAAACTAACAAGATGGTAACAAGCTGCAGGCTCTTGGGCACCTTGACTCCCTTCTCTGGCCTGTTACGCTTCTTGGTAAGGCAAGGCTCTAGGTTGAGTGTTCCTAAGGGTTCAGTCATGAACGTCGGGAACAGAATAAAACTGCGGTACCAGCACAGAGTCAGGGAGAAAATAAGAACACACAAAGTAAAGAGGAAATAAAGTGGATCATTCTGGCCAGTTGGATCCCAGCCTTAATTCCAGTGTGAGGCAGCCTCACCTGTGTCCGGCTGTCCTCCAGCCTTTCCTGAGTCCAAGTCAGGAACCCTCCAATCTGGGGTCAGGAGCCAAGTATGAGGATGTGAGGAAGCACTCTTCAGACACCGCTGATCGTATCTGAGAGGCTCAGAGATTCTCGGAATTTAAAGCCTCTGAATTTTACAAAGGGGAGGGGGCAAGAAGAAGCCTCACCTTAGCTAGGGAGGGATTTTGGAGAGGGAGGAGCCAGAGGAAAAGGCTAGGCTTGAACTGAGTAATAATCTATGGAATGCACGCTCAGACCACTTACCAGAACTTCAGTCCTGTAAGACCACTGTCCTCAAAGACACTTTCGCAGACAGAGACAGGCCCATGAGTCCCAAACCCCAAACCTAAGGAGATTCTTTTTTTTTTTTAATCAAGATTTTCTTGTAAGTTTATAAAGAACTTGGATTTCCATTCATTCATTGTTGCACATTTTCCTCCCTGTCCCTTGCCCCCCAGTTTGTTTTTTCTTTTGAAAAAAAAGTTCTTTCATTGTTATACAGTCCCCCCTACAGACCAATTTACTATGGAGGTTCTAGGCCTCACATGGTGGAAAGGGATGGGTTTACAGAACAGACAGCCCACAGGCACAGCTGGCTGGGTTGTTATTTTTCTTAGGTGCCGTCAACCAGAGTACAACTCATAGCAACGCTATGAACAGCCAACTTGAACTCTGCCCTCTCCTGTGCCGTCCTCATCATCATCTCTGACACACTAGAGCCCATTGCTGAAGCCACTGTGTCAGTCCATTTTGAAGAGGGTCTTCATCTCTTTCGCTGACCCTCCATCTTTCCAAGCATGAGGTCACTTTCCAAGGAACAGTCTCACCTAGCTATATGTCCAAAGTATGAAAAAATGAAGTTTCAACATCTTTGCCTCCAAGGAGCTAAATCCATAGTTACTGAGCCGTTGATACCAACAGCAGAAAGAGACATCAAGCCTCAGTCTTGAAGACAGTGGGCAACCTCTCTCCCCAAGTCAGATGCATAGCACTGGCTGCCGAGCTCCAGGTTCCCTTCTGTGTCCAAGTGTCCACCTACCACCCACTTGGACCCAAATAATTCATGAGCAACAACTTCCCCTAGACACTGTGCAAGTCCTACAAACACCAAAATTATAAAGGCACAGTCTCTGGTCTTATAGTGAGCTTGGAGTCCAGTGGAAGAATTAAATAAACACAATGTAGAGTGATACAAGACAGAAGAAGCTGTGAGGCTCAGGCATATGCCCAAAGTGAATGCAGTAAAGGCCGTCTTGAGATGTCAGTGGGATATTCTGAGAAGGAAGCTGTGTAGTTAGATAGTTAGCAACTAGGAGAATGATCAGGGAATTATTAGCCATAAGTATAATCAGCCTTACAAAGTAATTGAGTTCCCAAAGAAGAAGAAATACAATGAAAAACCAGAAGATCCAAGATTAGAACATGTAAAGCAAATAATTTATGCTCAACTTCAAAGTGGCACAAGTACCACAGAAGTGAAGGCCTGGCCATCTGATTCTGTAAATGTTGTTGTTGTTAGGTGCCATTGAGTCAAATACGACTCATAGAGACCCTATTAACAACAGACTTGATCCCAGTCCTATCCTGTGCCATCCTCATCATCTCTGACACACTTGAGCCCACCGCTATAGTCATTGTGTCATACAATCTCTTTGGGGAGTCTTCCTTTCTTTCACTGATCCTCCACCTTTCCAAGCATGATATCCCTTTCCAAGGAAGAGCCCTCTTAGCAAATGTTCAAAGTTCAAAGTATGAGAGACAAACCTTCACTATCCTTTCATCCAAGGACTGGTTATACTTTTTCCAAGACATATCTGTTTCTTCTTTTGGCTATCCATGGGATATTCAGTATTGTTTTCCAACACCACAATTCAAAGGCATCAATTATTCTTCTGTCATCCTCATCCATTGTCCAGCTCGCAGATTAGCAGATGACTCAAAAGCTCATGCCCTGAGTCAAGGTGTACCTTAATCTTCAAACAGACATCATTGCTCTTTGGTATTTTAGAGAGGTCCCTGACAGCAGAATTCCCAATGTCATACATCTCCTGATCTCCTCCTGACTGCTAATACCAAGG